TGTCGAAGATGTCATAGGTATTAATTTTAACGCGCAACCAAACTTAAATATTTATTAGATACTCAAATATTTTATTTTTTAAAGTCTTTAATGCATTCTAAAAAATTTTTAATTTTTTATTCATTCCATGGCTCTCTGTATTTGTTGTAAACAATGCAAGTAAAACCGAAGATATTTTTTAAATAATAAAATACCGGACCTAAAAATTATTAATGTAAATTGTAAAAATGTACTCTAAAAATTATTGTTAATTTTGTTAAGTTCATTATAATAAACTACAGGTTGTTAAAAAAACCATTCAACATTTACATTACAAATGGTTAAGATTTCGATATATGTTCACTAAGGCTTTTTTACTCAGAATGGTATGTACTATCTACCATATAAATGCTGAATGGTTTTTCTATCATCTGTATAATCGTTAATTACAGATTGGGTTGTCCTACGCCGCCATTGCAAAGGGATCCGTTTTCTCCATTGCCACCAAAGATTTCGGTTCTTCCACCAACTCCCGATTTCTGTACGAGGCATAGATTGCGAAATGGGCTACACGATAGCCCAGGACGTAACAGTCCTAGTTATACGCCTGCAGATGGTAATACCGAAGACGGCAGTGAGGACGATCTCGATTGTGACGGAGAACCCCCTTACAGGTATGAAATTATAATTATATTTCTTATATATATTTATTTATCTGATTAATTTATATGTAATTATCAAAAACATCGATATTAAGATTTGTCTTTTTAGTTATTAAAAAGAGAAATAAAAAACTAGTCAAACTTGTTTGAACCTAAACATCTAACATTAAAAATATTTAAATTCAATGAAACCTATCGTAGATTAAAGCGACTTTTTTATTTCCTCTGTCCGTAACAATCGTTCTCACGCAGAGCTTTGAGACGGTTTGGTACAATGAGCAGCCTGGATCAAGATGATGAGCTGGATGAGCAAGGGGACGATGATAACCGGGATACAGAGTCGCCACCATCTGGCTTGAGAGCATGGACTGCTCGAGCGAGCAACTATGTCGTTAGCAAGATGGTTTTGCTCGAACAACTTAGCGAAGGTGTCGGCGGTTATCTTCTTCAACCGCCAGTACCCCCGGAACGAACTGAGTTCTCGTTAGACCCAAACGACGAAGAAGGTACTACATCCGGGGCGACTTCCGGTGATGATATATGGGGCACGCCGACCTCCGGCGGACCGGATGATGAAAGTTTCACCGCCAATTCGGTAATAATGTTTGCAACGATAATACACGATATTATAATATCCAAATAGTTTAGAAGCACAGTGAAGTCCCAATGTGAAAGATTTTATCAAGTGATCATAATTGACAAACTTATCTCTAGATATTATATATTAAATACTCATTTCATGAAATGGAGAATATAATCGATATTTATAGTCAGTTCTTATTTCAAGATCTTAAGTAATGTCTTAAGATGTCGATGGCTCTGTCATTGATTTATGACATCTTAAAACTATATCTGAGATGGTTCTAAATATAAAAATTGATTATGAATACTGACTGATCTATGTAATATAGAGATGAATGTAATCATATAAGAGACATCATAAATTTTATTTTTTTTTAACAAATCTAAAACAACTTAGAAATAAATTTTCCAATAAAAAAAGAAATCGGTATTAATTTTTAAAATAATTTAGTACAATATAGCTTATAAACATTTCTAATCTAAATATTTCATCGCGGCGACTCTCAATAAAACTTATTACAGTATGGATTTTAAATTGTAATCTATATTGCATTGCATAAATAAATAATGATCACTTGATACGTATGAGTATGACCGTTTTTAAGCTTGCTTGAAAATAACATCTAGTTTCGGAGCATTAACTCATTTAAATTGCACTCTGCATTCAATATAAAAATTGCAACCGCCTGTACTTTGAAAACAATTTGTACGAAATTTAATGTATTGTACAATACTATGGCAAGTAGTTTTATTTTTTAATTCATGGAATTAATTCGATGAAATTTTTGCGACAGTATTGTTCTAAATTACAGGTCGTACTTATTGCCCAAATGCGACTGTCTCACTTGAGACATGTATAAAACCATAGAATCAAATGGTCGCACCTAGCACTGAATATGGAATCATTATACATTAAATCAGGGGCCTTTTCACCCTTGATTACATATGTGACGCAGGAATGCAGCGATAAAAAGAAGATAAAATAAGCTTCGCACGCTTGCCTGCATGACGACGCTTGCCTTCTGTTTTTCTTTTTGCAAAGAATCACTAGCCCGAGCTGTGCCTGACTTCCCTAGCCGCCGCCGAACGGCTGCAGCAGTAGCGGTGGCGCGATGGGTGCCGGTGCCATCGGTGAGGACAATTACGGCCTAAATCTGTCAGCGGAGGACGATGTCGATCAGGAATCAGAGAATGAAGATTGCTCGTTGCCGGAGCTGAGCATGGACCAGTTACTGGGCAGTAGCGGTAGCTTGGGCTCGCTGCGCTGTTTTCTCGGCAGGAGACGGCTGGAGCCGCTGCCCGAAGAGGAGGATTCGCCTGGCAGCGGTAAACACCAGGTCGGATGGTGGTGACAACGGTTTCAAACGACGTCCAAGTCGAGCGTCGGTGCGAACGCGGACGAGCGCGACCGCGTCTTCGCTAAACTGAACCAGGAAGACGAGGAGTTCCGCCGGAAGATCGTCGATTTGCATCGCAAGCTGTCAGACGTGGACGCAGCGTCGGAAATGGTCGGTTCGCCTAATTCAAAAAGTTCCAAGGAGGCCGAACGTCTTAAAGAGCTGGAAGCCGTCGCAAGAAGAGCGGAGGAGACCAATTCTCGCAACGTCGAAGAGATGAACGCCGAGAAAAGGCGGGAAGAGATGCGGAGGGCAGACTCCGCCGAAGCGAACGACAAAAGAAGACACAGAAGTAAAAGGACCGATCAGCTAAGGAGGTCAAAGAGGTTCGAAGAAGACTTTGACGATCAGAACGAGAGAGCGAGTCCGTCCAGCACTGGCGAGACAAATTTTCTGAACAGACTGAGGCTAAAGAGACGGAGCATGAAGCTACTGAGTTTCCTGAGCGGAAAAGCAGCGGACAGATCGCAAGAGGAGAGGGCAGCGCGACTACTGAGGATGTACATGCCGGAAAAGGGCGGCGCCAGGTCAACGCAGAACACAATCTCGATTCATCATACGTCAAGGGACAGGCGTTTCTGGAAATTGCGCAATCGGAGACGAACCAGTTCCGCGTAAACTCACAAGAATCGTCGTGTGGGTGATGCTTTACTCGTGTGTCACGCTTCTTGCTGTCGAGTATATGAAAGAGGTCACGTCGCTCTATGCGAAAAAATGAAGGCTATCGGTATCGAGGGTATTGTGTTTTACAATGAGATCATTGAGATAACTATTTAGCATCAAAATTGCAAATAAAGCAAAAAATTAATAGTTATCTTGATACAAAACGTTAAATTCATAAGTCGCGTGTTAGTTTGGAGAAATATTAGATAATATATTAAAATGTATTAGCATATTGAAGTATATGATAATTACTGTGATAGCATAGAGGACGATTAGACTTGATTACAAAAACATTTGAAGATAACACTGCAAAGAATCAATAAGATTTGACACACGAGTAAACTGTCACTCAGGAAATACTATATGTATATTAAAAAGAAAATATTGCGAGAAACGGGGAAAATCGAGGGAGAAAGGCAATCACATTACCTCTCCGTTACTAGGACTTCCAAAACATTCGTGTTTATCGAGATTTTTTGAATTCTGCTCGAGCATGTAAGAGGCCGAAGTTGTTTTCATAGAGTGGTAGTAGTGAATACGAATAGTTGATATTAGGTTTAACTGCAGTTTCAATCTAGTTCACTTCTTAGTACCGCAAGGGAATAAAAGTTACAGTTGGTCCTCTATCAGTGACAAAGGAAACGCAACTTCAGGGTTAGTCGAGTACAGTTTCAGAATCGCGCTATTAGTAAGCTTGCTAAACCTTGCGAGGACAGGACGCCTCTGGGCACGGCCTAGCGAATCGTTTCCGGATCGTTTGAGCTGATCGGCGGCAGTTGGAATCGGCGAGTTCCGCTCGTGAATGTAGACTTCTTCTGAATTTTGACTCTTTGTTTTTGGAACACTGTATCTAAGTAGGTCCGCACGACTGACCCAAAGCGGCATTTATCTTCCACTTATTATATTAGGTGTCCCGCAACAAGCTGCTATCTTACGCAAGGTTGAAGCTACTTTATGTCAAGGAGATAAATAAGTACGAATTATTCTGAGCGGCTGTAATATAATAATAATTAATTTAATTTAATAAATTTTAAAATATATTAAATTTAAGTGTGTTTTTTTATTATTATACTACAGTCGTTATTATGCAATAATGATCTATGATGAGTCCTAAATTTAATTGTAACTTAATTGAACGTAAGATTATATGTATATTGTAAAAACTGGAACCTAAACATTTATATTTAAACTTTTTGGCTAAAAGTGAATCGAAAAACCCATGATTAAGATAATAAAATCTTATTGCAGGGCATCTTATAGATTTTACTCCTGGTCAAGAAAGAGTTCTACAAATTCATTGGATGCTTAGTCATAGATTTTAAAATTGAAATTTCATTAGTCATATCTATTTTAGCGAGAGTTTATCAAAGAGTCATTATCTTAATTTAACATTAATTTTCAAAAGTATTAAATGTATTTCATGAATTAAGTTTTGGAATCAATTTAATAAAGTTAAGATTGAAATGAATTGAAAAATTTTATTACGCAATCTAGGAATGTGGAATGCTTTAAACAGATTAAGAATTAAATAAAACACTAAAATTTTAACATTATTGTTAGTAAGTTGTAAAATGGTCGATTGACCGCATATGAAAAATATAAATAAAACTATATTATTTATTCAAATCATCCTTTCCTTTGTATCTCTTAAAGTGCAAAAGTACTATTTTTCATGAATATTATTTTTATATATTTTTTACACACACATACACACAGACTGCTTCTAACAGACTAAATTTCTTGTTACTACTATACAGAATATTTCGAAAGTTTTTACTCAGGAAGGGAATTTCACCGAGGATTACCAAAGGATTATTTTAAAGGTTCCTCCATTGATAGATTCATATCAATGACTTATTAACAAATATTTATTTGTATTATATCTAATTCAATTACATCAAGCTTCCTTCTAACCACTTAAGCCTGAGTTTCTCTTGTATAATATCACGATTCAGCTTCTTTGGATTGTTTATAAACTGTTCCACGGCTTCTTCGCGAATAGGATCTACTTTCGGTACAACATAAAACGTGCCATTCTCGTGTAAATATGTGCCATTTAGATCGTCCGGCGTTGGCAATTTGTCGGGCAACTTTATGGGAACGATCTTTACTAAATGCTTTATCTTCCAGAGCATGGCACATACGTCTGGTGCGTTTTTTACGATCACTGGATCATTTTTGTGTGGCTGTAAGACGAGCAAGTCAATAAAGAGATTGTTAAAGACTATCCTACGCTTTATGTATACAATTTTGACTACCTCATCATCGAAACCTATATTTTTGAGCATCCTTTTCTCCCACCATGGATTACCCGCAAAAGGTTTTACTCGTGTCACTAACAACAACTTGCTCGGTTCGAATGATGGATCAACATGATTTGGATGTCTACAAATGTAATTTTGAGTACCCAAACCAAGAGTAGCAATCGTGAGATTTACTAATTGTGAGAGTTGTCATAGTTCTTTCAGAATTCAAAATGTATTTTGCTCAGTATTTAACAATTTGTCGGAATTCAACGTTTAAAAGAAAATTCCTTTGAAACTTTAAATTTTCGCAAATTATTAAATATTGTTTTTTTCTTGTTTATGTTTTTAGTTACATAAAAGTGAATTTGTTTTGAACGGCAAAAGTTCAAAAATATGTTTTAATTTTAGAAATGTAAAAAATAATTAAAAATATGTATATAATTTAAAAGACTGATAATTTCTCTTCGTAGTAAATATACTGTTTTTTTTTATTATAATTCATGAACAGCGGAATGTCGAAAAAAATTAAATACGATGTAATATAACCTCACATACCTTGGAAAATATGTAACATGTTCATATTTTATCCCCTCGGGGTTACCCTTTGCATCTTTATACCTAATTCTCCGTCTCATAAAGACGGTCATATGACGTACGAAATTTAAGAAAGTAGGTGCACCAGTCAGTTTAGTTGTCACATTGCAGCTAAAAATTAAAATAATTTCGTAACTCTTGAGTATCTATGTATAGGTTAGAGTTAACTTGTTTTGGAGTATGTAAAAGTCAATAACTGTCGTGTGTATTGTTTCTATCGTAATTCAAATAATTACAACAACCTCAATTTGTTTACTTACGTAAACATTGTCCTTTTATACTCGCGTTTATTTTTATTTATTATACGTAATATCACACAATCCTAACTTTTTAGTAATTTATTACGTGCATTGTGCATAACTGATGTATAGCGACTATAGCGCCAACTAGTGAGTACGAAGGAAAAACCAATAGAGAAATCTCATGGACGAGCAATACCTAACAACAGTATCTTGCTGCGCTGAATTCATCTTTACCGACCAAGATATTAGATGCTTGAAACGTAATAATTGTAGATATAAGATGTGTATGCATGCAGAATTCTATGATCAATCTCGAAATAACAAAGTCTTACTTTTCCAATTTGTTTTAAGCTCTTTTATTTAATATAACGAAAATATTTAATTAAGGGTTACTTAGTAATTTAATTGTTAGGATATTTAAGAAAGAAATTACGTAAAAAATACGTCAATACGAATACGATTTTGTTTTAAGATGATGGCGAGTAAATATATGCCAGGAGCAAAATAACATAATTAGCTACAAAATATATAAGAGATAAAATATAAAAGAATTAAATATTTGATACTTGACTTTTTTATTTACAATAGTCTAAAATTATTTTAAAATCTTGTAATTTCTGTAATTATATATATATATAGAATTGTTATTGTAAAATTCCTGCTTTTTTCCTCTTTGTTTCTGTATAGTATACTTCTTTGTATGTACATATATATATAATATATATGTTTCCCTTTCTTCCATAATTCTCAAAAAATATAATATTCTCTTTCTTTAGATGTTTAATTTTGTGGTTATTAAAACACAAGTTTGGGGTCTTATAAAATAAAATATACACACATAGTAAACATACAATTAATCTAATAATAGTTAAATCATATTCCCGCTCGATTAAGCTATTTTTCAAATTTTACCTCATTTTCATCCCGTTTCGCTTCATTGTGCAATATGCACTTTACTAATAAACAGAGTAAATCGTCGGTCATGCATTGATAACGACAAATATAATGGAAGCGGCCTCAATTTTATTCTACCTAAATTTACCAATATAACACACAAAGAGAAACGATTTATCGTCTGAAATTCATTAAAAAACGTCCAGAGAATTCGGCATAGCGAAAAATTAATATTGACGCCAAACACAATCGTTTTTCAGTAGATATATTTACATTTCCGTCGAACAAACATGTTGCCAATCATTACCGAATGATTTGTGCATTGTCGATAGGCAATTTATGCCTAAGAAAAAAATTGCAGGGAAAAACATGACTGTACTATAATATTTATAGGATAATCCAAGTGGTCGTCGCAATCAGGAACGACGAACAAACAGCAGTTGTACAATTTTAAAGTTTATTCTACATTTGTGTAAGCATGATTGTAAAAATTCACTAATCAATTGTAGCACAAATCGAGCACAACTCAGCACAATGTTTATTTCGCCGATTAAACAAAATGGCGGTGCTGGCAAAAAAAACGTTTTTTTCAATTTAACGTTTTGTTTTTTGAGTTATGTCATTAATTCTTGCGGCACAATGTAGCACAAATCTAAACTAATCACAATCGAATGTGAAAAGAATAATGGACCATGATTGGTGAATTTTTCACTACACAATTAATGGGTAACTTTACATATAAAGATGCGTTTGAGGAGTCGCTATTGTATCATTCTATTCTTGTTTATATCTAATAAACGATGAAGACGGAATAACATCTCTCTGAACGTATCTAATAGTGACACACGCATCATCCTATCTTTCTTGTCATTCATTGTCAGAAAGTAGAACGTTGCAAAGATAGAACGACACTTGTGTTGACTCTGCCACCAAATAGAAAACACTCAATATTACTCCCATAAGTTACACACACACACACACACACACACACACACACACACACACACACACACACACACACAAACAAAATATACATACTCACCACTCGCGATGCAAGCGAGCTGTTATCTCTGCCATTCCTGCGTTCTGATACTCTCATTACTGATATCCTTCTTTGCCTCTTGCTCCGCGTCGCTCCATTACTTTGGATACTCGACGTTCACTGTCGCGTAGAAGAAAATCGCCGGAAAACGTGGCTGATTACACTCGCGAGCGCGTCCACTATAATCGCGCGTTACTTTGTACAGCATTCTCGACTTTGAATTGAACACTCGACTGAAAAATTCAGGGAAATTCGCGATCGCTCGCGGCAAGAACGACAGCTAGTCACTCATCCCGACACTTTCGATCACTTTCGATACTTGAGCGTACCCTGAAGTTCGTTCATGATAGGAGAAACGTGAAGTGGTAGTCGAGGTGTTTGAGTCCGACGTCCGATCTGACTCGTTTCGCGGCAACGCGAAGTTAGCAACTTATTACTACGTGAGTCAAGTAAAAAATAGACACGCGCGTGATATATATATTCAAATTGAAATCGAAGTTTGATTCTTATTGTTATCGCGATGTGCTCGAACATGATATAATTATACATGAATAGACAACGAGTAAAATATTAATTAACTAAATACCTTATTTGATTGTATAACAACTTTAATTAGTATTTTAATTGCATTAATTGCAGTGCGGTTTTATGACGATAGTTAATTACTATAGTTGTAGAATCAGTACATTATATTATATTTTATAGGTAACGTAACATTTATAGTCAATTGTTCAACGGCCGATAACGGACTTATTTGTTTATTTTTTACTTGCTTGCCGCTCCGCTCGTCGCCAGCGTCTATTTGTGCTTTGACTTCGCAGGATCATCTGACGTCAGCCGCGCAACGTGCCAACGCAAGGCATATCGCGTCGCGTCGTGTCGCGTTTAGTCCCGAAATCTCGATTGTGATTGTTTCGCGTATTTTTTCGTGAATTCCGCACGGGAGTGAGAACACTTCAGACGTGTCGAGAATATCAAGCACGAGTGAGAGTAGCAGAGAGGAGATCCAATCTTCGATTGAGTCAATCATCGCCATTTGTTCGTCGATGAATTCTCGGGATCAGGTGTGGTTCGTATCTGTTTAAGTCTTGTGTCCACGATGCTAGAAATCAGTCCGAGATCTCGGATGGAGAGAAAGAATTGACTAATCGTACAGTTGATCGTGTGATTGAATTATTCAAACGTGATTTATTAATTTCTCTGTCCTCTATGAAAAGCTTAAGTTTTACGTTACGCTTTATTTATTTGTACAGAAAATCATTCTAACGAAAAGATTTAATTATTATTTCTGCCTTTTTTCACGCGTAAAAGTGTTTGATATTTTATCGGTTTCATCGTGATGTGTACGTATATTTTCCGGAGGGATTTGTGCAATTTCAATTGGATGAAATTTCGCGGAGCAGTGACAGCCGTGAGCCCACGGAGAAAAAAAAACAACTTCGGTCGTTGGGGGACAAAGATGCGAAATATCCCGCGGCGGTAAGTTCGACTTGAGTTCGAAAGTTTCTCATGAAAACTCATTTCCGCTGGGGCGATGGGACGCCTAAGGGTTTCTGGCCCTTACGAAAAATAGGAGCAAAGAAGAAAGGGGAATGAGCGAGAAAACTTTGCGCGCGTGAAAAACGGGTACATCTGGCAACGTTCTTTTAACGAACTCTATGTACCGTACACAAATCGCGCACAATGCTCTTTGCGATATCTGCAACATAATTTTTATCTATAGAGTAATTTAGTCTCTCATTACATAAATTAGTTTTTAAAGGAGACAGTATGTTTTTATCTTTTACATAGAGTTAGGATAAGAAATCTTAAAGCTTAGATATATACATATATGTATAGTATATAATATTACATAAGAAGAAAAACAGATAGTGCTAGAAAATATTTTTTAAAAATGAATGAGATGTATAACAGTTTGAAGTGAATTGTAGAAAATCTGTATTAACTATTCTTTTTTAAATATGTATATGGGTCTATGTTGTGCATCTCTCTTTTAACGATGATGCTGCAGCTTTTTTTTACCAAAAAAAAAACTGCTCAACGATAAACATAATGATACCAAGACGTTAAGGGATATAAAATGTCTCTTAACATGTTGGTATCGTTACATTTATCGTTGATATTACAAAAACTCGATATATATAAATTTGTGGTATTTATTTTGGAGTCATTACATATCATGTTATTTATTTTTAGGTTTCATTTGTTTTTATATGAAAATGTTTTATTATAACTTCAGATAAAATGTAAAAAGCATTTTGCCACTCTTCTAAACAATAACATTTTCTTTACATTATTCTTTATTACAATATTCCATTTCCCTGCATTGCTATAATAAAAGAAATAGCCTCGATATTATGTGACTACAATAATATTGCTTTAAAAATTTTCAATTTTATTCTGAAACTCCTTAGTTTGTATGCAAGAGTTTGTATAAAGAATTTCTCATCATATTTTCTTTCTCTTTCTCTTTTGAAAAAGCAACTTTTTATTTATCCCTTTCTTTTATTTTATGGTCTTTTGTAGACACAGGGTAAATAGAAAGCTGTGCCATCACAAGAGTTATTGTTGAAACATTTCTAATTTGATTGTTATTTTAACTCAGGTAACGAGAATGTTAAATATTTCTTAAAAACGTAACTTATTTTTATTTATATCTCTTCTATATTTTGGAGATGCGATATTACGGTCTCCTGATTCCTTGGACCTTGGAGGATCGCATCTTCCCACTTTTCTGTCTATCTTTTCCGCTCTCGATGGGGAGTCTCGACGTTATAAGCGTGATATCGTTGCTCTCTCGTTATCGTCGTTCGCCAGAGGATACATTATAGTTGGCGAGTAATACACGCGATGTTATATTGACGTTATATATCGTTCGAAAATAATTTTTTCTTCGACGGTTTTTTTCGTTTTTATTTTAATAGTTCAAATGACAGCGATTCAAAACTGTTTGAGGTAAATAAATAAATGCTTTATAAAACTGATTTTTATTATACAGAGAAAAATTAATTTATTTAATGTCCGTTTGTTAACATGCGAAACAATACTTTGTCTTTATTAAAAATTTATCGGTTGATTTCTGGCTGAACATGTAATAAATGTTATATTAAATAAATTGCGTGAGTTGAAATTATTTGAAAAATAAATTGAAGTAACGTATATTTTTTCTTTGTTATGTATC